AGCCGCAAAATTGTCTTGGTCAGAGCCGGAAGATTCGGCCCTTAACCCTTCGTCGGCCTCAGCAACGCCGGCTTCATTAGAGAAGGCGGTTCCCTCGCCGCCTAACTCCCGTACCCCAGAGCTCCCGGAAGTAGAGGGAGCCTCTTCGTCAGACCTGCTCTCCTCCAAATCCCTCTGTTCCCTGTCTGGGAAACCTCATCGGCTGGCACTTCCATAGTGCGCCGGCTCCTAGACCGTCTGGTGGTTTGTTTCGTTCTGGCCATTGTGTCCTGCACAGACACAGAGAGGGAGGAACTCGGAGATGAGCATATCGGTTCCGACAGTCCAGAAAAGGCACCCCCTGTTCTAGACTCAGCCGTTCCGAGGGACCAACTGAGTGTCCTAGGCAGTGCCGAGTGTGGATTGAGAACTCATTTATATTTTCTAAAAAACTAGGTATACAGGCGGAGAAAAAAATGGTATACAATTTGAAGAGAGAAAAGCTAAAATGGTACAGGCGGTTACCTTACTTTTACTCTGAAAACTCTAAAAACCGCTACAATCGGTAAACTGGGTGTTGAACGGCTAGCACACGGCAACTTGAACTTGTTGTGATGCAGACGGAGGCAGAGAATCTCTCTCTAAAAAGCTCTCTCTTTCTCTCTCTAAAAAGTCAAATGAACGTAAGGTGAGAGAAAAAGGGGGGGTAACTTTCTTTTTATAGAAGGTGAAAGCGGGGGGAAAACTTTGGTTTGAAATTCAAATTTTTACCTGTTACTGTTCACCTTTGAAAGGTGGACACGTGTCACAGGTCCCACGTGATGTGCACGTGCGTCCTGTGAGGGGCAAATGTTTAGGGTAAAAATACCCTAGACGCGTGGACCTATGAGAGGAGGCCACGTGTCGAGTTCAGGATGGCCCATGTGGCTTAATATCCTCTTGACACGTGGCGCCCTTAGATACATCTTTGAAATGACGACCTTCAAGGGCCCAAATCCCAAGAAGCGTCGTTTTACGGCGCAGCCCACTGAAATTTAGGTCAAGTGACCTAGATGCGGGCACGTTCTCCAATGACCCTATAAATAGGGATATATTTCCCCATTTTTGGGACACATTCAATCATTTATTACACCTACATTCTCTCACATCAGAGAAAGGCCTGAGGTTGGAATCCAAGCAGATTCCCACCTAAATTTCCGTACTCTTTATTCCCTTTCAAGTTACTAACTTGATCGTCGGAGGCGGAGCTCCAACCACCCGGAGTCTCCGTTGTTTTGCAGGTACAACTCAGCCGAATCAGACTTCGTGACATAACTCTCCCGAGGGACAAAAACACCCAAAACACATGGGTCACCAGCAAGTCCTGCTGGCTAAAAAGTGGGTGGGCATCTGCAAGCGCATCCATACCTAGGCCATTTCATACAGGAAGTGTAAGACACTAGTAACTAAGGTCTCAAGCACACACACACAAAACTATGAAAACCCTAACCACATGTTTAATAATTAAACACACAAAATTAAATAATTAGCACACATAATAAAATAAACATTTCCATGGACAAGGTCAACTACAAATCCTAACATAACAATAGATTCAACATTAACTTGAATTTTTAAACAATTTTCCATCATCTACCAATATATCCACACATGTTTTACTTGAAGAGAATGCCAAAAATATTTGTTTATACAGCACAAATTCAAATGACAACACCAAATACTACAAAAAACAACTTTATAACAGCTTCTTTATTAAGAAAAAACAAGATAAACAAAATCCAACAAACACCATTAGTACAGGACCACAACAAAACTAAAATGGAAGGGAATATACCTTCAATAGAACCCAAACGTGCGACTTTTTTTCCAACTGTATCCTCAAAGCTGGGACCACTAGCCCAATACATGAGCTGAACAGAGAACAGAGAATAAAGGAATTTTTTTTTTTTGTTGGAGCTTTCTGTAAATGGAAGTGTTGGCATTAAACAAGATGGAAGTACTACTTTTATAGGAAAAAGGAGACAGCTTCCAATAGAAGCTTCAAGATACCCTTCGTTTCCCGCGTTTTCTCCTACGGTTGTAATTAATCACACAGCTCGAGGTGTCTGCAAATGTACAGAGGCTTTTCAATTTTTTTTTTTTAATCTACTGCAAACTCCCTACAACAGGTAACAACACCGGTGATAACTTGAACAACCGGTTTCAGTCCCCTACATTTACATTTTGTAACTGCAGTCCCCTACTTTTCAATTTGTTGAAAGTTCAGTCCCCTGCAACATGCTTAACTCGTCTACGTTGCCACGATATTGTTCTATGGAAGCGGGCGGGCTCGGTTTTTTGTTAATATTTACTCATATCAGATATAATAAAGTTATCAAAGCCTAATTGCGAAGTCTGGCTTGATACTTGTTCAATGGTTATGTTAAACTGATAGGGAATAGAGAAGAAAAATAAAGAAAGAGGTCAGAAATCTAAAATCTGAAATGGTCATTCGTTCTTGCCTTTTGTCAGAGACCCAAGTAGCATTGAGAATACTTAGGTGGTTCAAAGGGGGCACCAAGTTACAAAACCTGAGCCACCAAAGGCAGAACCTCCGACTCCACAAGAGCAACCAAAGGTAGAACCGCAGAACCAAAGACAGAACCTCTGGCACCACCTCAGCAACCATAAACAGAACCTCATCATATAACTCCAATTTGATATTTTTATAGCTTCTTTAAGTTACAGAAGATCTAAAAGGAAAAGAATTATATCTTCCAGGTCTATTCACTTTCTTTTAAATGTGCGTGACTTGTCATATTTTTCTATTCTTTATACAGCTTGGTGGGTTGAACTCCATGTTCGCTGTTGAGCATACTCCTTCTATATCTCTGATTTCCAAAATGCCCACAATAATTCTCGGGATGGATGTATTTCACGGATCACCGGAGCATTCTGATGTGCCATCATATCAATGGCTACTGGAACTTTCTACATTCACCCTTCAGGATTTACAACCTAAGATATGAGATAACCTAAATTACACAAAATATATCTATACAGAATATAAACAAGATAATATTAACATAGTAGTATTATCTAACACTATGGTTGACCTACCACTAGCTATGTTGCTCTATCATTTCGATTGGAAGTTACCAGATGGGATGCGACCACAAGATCTAGACATGGATGAGTCTTTTGGATTGACAATGAAGAGGAAAAATCACTTGCTTGTAATTCCTACTCTTCATCCTTCTTCTAATCTGAAAACGGGGGTTTAATTAATGACCACTTAAGTTATAATTAAGCTTGCTTATTATGGATGGTTTGTGCACCATTGTTGTGTGTGTGTGTAATGTGTGTTTCGTGAGCATTATATTATGGTGTAAAAGTACTTTCCAATTGCTTTAAGTTCTAAATAATAAAAAGCTAATGTGATTTCAGGTAATTTCTCCAAAGATCACCCACTTAATTATCTACAATACAATACCTTGGCTTTTTCTTTGCAAGGGGCGGACAATGAGCTTGCTTAGGCTCTCAAACTTGACTCTTCGGTACATAGAATTGTCGTGTAGTTCCTCTTTTCCGAATTAGATGACATAGTTTGACTTTGTACACTATTTACATAACTTGCTTTGACTTCATTTTATAATTTTGTTTTGAGATAAAGTAGTCATGTGGGATCTTGTTAGATTCGTCTCAACATCTATCACGTAATCAAGGATATTTGCATTAGAAATTATGCATTGAATAAACGAAGTATGTATGTACTTAATAGGGTGTTATGCTGGTCCCCATATCCTCTACGGAGAATAATTGGGGGCCCATGTTCTTTGTTCTCATAGTGTGGGCTTTGACCACGATTGTTAACGTTCATGGTTCTTCTGAAAACCATGTTTCATCTTAATAGGTGAAGCCTTAATGGGTGATGATGGTGCATCAACTGTTATTATTGAAGGCTTGAAGCTGACCCAGATTTCTTGGTTTGGAGGCCGTGTATCAAACTAATTTTCGGAACACAAGGAACTATCCCTAACACTCATGTTTGTGGTTGCCTCCGCGATTGTTAACATGGGACAAACATTCGGCCATGGTAGAGACCTTCCCCATTTAATTTCTAGCAACACCAAGGAAACTCTAGCTAAACTTTTTAAGCCCATTGGGATCTCACAACTAGAACTTGATTTTTTGGATCGCGCACAATGGTGGTGAAGCAGTTCTAAATGGCATTCAATCGAGCTCAAGCTCGATTTAGAAAAGCTCAAGGCCTCAAGGCATGTGCTAAGGGAGTATGTTAACATGACTAGCGTTGGTGTGTTGTTTTATGATGGATGAAATCATGAAATGAGAAAGAGGTCAAGTTTAGAAGGAAAGATGACAACCCGTTTCGGATGTGAATGGGATGTAATGGTTGGATTTGGTCCAGGACTCACCACCATTGAGGCTCTTGCTTTGCGGAGTGTTCCTCTACACGCTCAATATTTGATAAACTGGCTCAATGGTGCATCCATATGTTGTGTTTTTAAATCTACAAAGTGTTTGAAATTATGGCTCAATTACCAGGCTGTGCATCTAACCCAATAACAACGGGCCTGTTAATCTAGAGGCCCTCCATAAATTAAAGGCCCATTTTTTTTTTTTTTTGGGTGGATAAATATAAAGACAATAATATAGGCATGTACATTTTTACACTCACTCTTTCCTTTTTCCCTCCCAGTAAATTTGCTGTTGTTTTGTATCTTCCGTTAATTTGTCAGTGATTATTTGTTTTAGCAAATTTATGACTATTTTTTTTTTTACGGGGGTGAGAATCGATGCCAGAATCTCCTCGAACCGGGAGGAAAGCTCTAACCACTTTTGAGCTATCCCTTACACTCAAATTTTATGGCTATGTGAAGATGGGAAACCACTAGCAAATGGAACAATCTTCTTTAAGTTGGAGGCATGTCTGTCCGAGTTGGATGATGTTTATAGATTTTAATTTACTCGATGATCACAAGTTCACAACAACAATAACAAAAAATAAGTGAGAGAAGATGTTCCCAAAGGACAAAGCACAATTCATGCATTGCTTATAATCAAACGTATTTTTTTACACAAGTGCCTTTTGACATTACTCCTCCAGTCTACAAGCTTATCTGCTCAACAAACAGTTGCACAAGCCTAGAAAAAAAAATGCATAAATTAGGAATAAGCATTATCACCTTTACGATATGGCTATCAGAGTATCACAAATCATTCTCCGATGACCAATCAGAGAGCTCAGCTACAACGCGAAGAATCAGGGGGTTGGAGTACCCGCGTTAGAGTCCTTAGACTTGTTCTCGTCAGAAGATGGTCTCTCTTCTGACTCGTATGGTCTAATTTCCTCGATCATCCTAACAACATCTTCCATTCTAGGCCTCATATCAGGAACTCTTGCAACACAAGCCAGTGCTATCTGCAACATCTGCACCATTTCCTCTTCCGCGTTTGGACACCTCAGCAGCTCTACATCAAACACCTCAGAAGTCCATTCTTCTCTTACTACAGACTGCACCCATTGAGGGAGATCAATCACATCACATTGTCCGTGACTAGTCTTAAGAGGGGCTTTCCCGGTAAGCATCTCTAAAAGAAGTACTCCAAAGCTGTAAACATCTGATTTTTGGCTGGCTTTTCTTGCTTCAATCACTTCTGGTGCATGATACCCTATGCTCCTCGAGGTGATACCTTGGAAATTCATCAGTAGAGGTAAGCCGAAATCAGAGATGCAGCCTTCATGATCTTGTGTGAGGAGGACGTTGGAGGACTTGATGTTTCCGTGGATAAATTTTCCACCGGCTTCACAGTGGACGTGGAGTATTCCTCGTGCAGCCCCTAGTGCAATTGATATTCTAAAGTTCCAATCTAGGGGAGTCTTTCCATTGTAACCATAGCCTGAAAAATCAGAAGAAGGATGCATCAAGAAAATGCTAACAGCAAAATTTGAAGCAGTTTCAAAATTTTCACAGTTTACAGTAACAAGTGAACGACAGAATGCAGATATAATCTTAGGAATATGCTACACTACCTTAGTTTTAAAAAGCGCAAGGCGCACCAAGGCGCAAATAGTCCTTGCAACCTAGGCGTGAGGCGCAAGGCGAAGGCATGCGCCTTTTGTATGCAGGGCGCATGTATTTATATATTTATTTCAAATTATTTTTCACTTTGATAGTATTTAATACCAATTGAAAAGATTCATAATAAATTAAGTAACGATATATTGAGAGCTAAGGTAGTCTAAATTTGAAAAAATGTCCATCATTCTTCAATTTATAACTTAAATCTTAGTTATTTTCCTTGAGGCACAAAGGCGCACCTTACCAAAGGCACTTTGAGGCACACAAGGCGCGCGCCTTCCGTAGGTGACTGAGCCTCACCTAGCTAAAGCCCATTTCCCATAGATTAGGAGTGAGGCGCGCCTAGGCGCACCCGAGGCGCGCTTTTTAAAACCAAGTACACTACAACAAATTTTCAGATGCTTATGCTTCTAGTAGTTTATATGATTCTTATATCAGTCAAAATCAATCAGATTGGCAGATTGCAGTTCACAGTCGAAAATTTCCTCAAGGAAATAGCTGCTCAATAAATATGTATTTATCAAATGAGAATCACTAGTCCTTTCTCTTTTTCTATAATTTGCTTACTTGTAAATAGAGGTGACAATCAGGTCCTCAAGTCAATTTGAGTCAGGTCCATTTCGGGCATGGTCGTTTGGGTTGATTTCGGGTTTGATCCATTCGGATTGGGTCATTTTCTATTGTTCTAATACTCTTATCAAATGAGAAACACTAGTCCTTTCTCTTTTTTTGGTTGGGTATGGGTCAGTTTGGCCAAGTCTACATGTAAAATAGCATCAAAAAACATTTTTAGTTACTACTTTAGCTAAGGGACATAAATGCATGTAAAACAGTAAGAATAAAGGGTTAAGGTAGGCATACCATGCAAGACGGCACTTAAGCTACCACCGGGCATGTAATCGTACACTAGAAGTTTTTCATCCTTGGAGAAATAGTAAGCCCGAAGAGGCACAAGATTAGGATGTTGACCAATCTTGCTAACCATTTCCATTTGTTGCTCAAATTCCCTCTTTCCAATTCCCACCTCCTTCAGCCGTTTTACCACCACCACAATTCCCTCATCCAAAATCGCTTTGTATGCTGTTCCATAGCTCCCTTTCCCAAGAACCTCCGCTGAAGCCCTAAGCAAGTCCTCGAGATCAAAGTTATATGAGCAACCTTCAAAGAAGACCAATTTGTTCTTCTCAGCTGTTTGCACACCACTCCCAAAGTCTTCCTTTGGCAACTGGTTTTTACCCTTCTTGGCATTCACTTCTTTCCCTTTATCAACCGCGCTATCTTCTACACTTCTCCTCTTCAAACAGCATAATAAGCAAATCACTATAGCAAGAAACAACACAAAAGTGCTACTTATTACTATAGCAATGATGGCACCTATTTTCAATTTCCCCCGATTGCCAGTTTTGCTTTTCATAGGGAGTGTTGACGGAGATTGAGCAGGTGATGGGCTACTCGAGGAGCAATTGTCCAGAGGCGGCCCACATAAGGAGTTCCCCGAAAATGATGAACTAGGGAACTTCTTGAGTGAATATGGGATTTCGCCATTTAACTTGTTGTAGCTTATGTTTAACACCTTGAGCCTTGGAGGTTTAAGATCAGGGATAGGACCTGAAAGCATATTATTTTGGAGATCTAACACCATAAGCCTTGTCAAATTATTGATAGTTGGTGGAATTCTTCCTGTGAAGGAATTAAAGCTTAAGTCCACCAACATAAGTCTAGGAGAAAGTGTTTCGGGAATGCTACCAGAGAAATTATTTGATTGGAGGAATAAGGATTGAAGTGATGGTAAAGAAGCAACATCAGTAGGAATTTTTCCATTAAGGCTGTTTGATCTTAGACTTAGGATTTCCAGCGCGTCTAGTTTCCCAATGGTACCGGATAGTATAGAGCCAACAAGACCAATTCCTGGGAGATGAACTGCAACTACACGGGTTCCTTCAGTATTGCAAGTAATACCAGCCCAAGTGGTGCATATTGGGGAAGCAACGTCCCAGTTAAGCTTTCGGCCATGTGGAACATTAGCTATAAAGTTAAGAAGAGCTTTCCTGTCTGAGTTCAAGTCAGCACAAATGAGAGGAAGGATAGCAACTTGGATAAGAAAGACGGAAAGTTCTAGCAAGGAGGATTGACGCTTCATGGTGGATTTTCTGCTGAAGCTATATTAAGATGCTAGATGCAGAAATAACACCATGAGGCAGTGCCGTGGTTTCAATATTCTGTCTCAATAATAAAACCTCTATGACTATTGCATCTGAAGGGAGAGGTTGACAGGAACACTGCATCATCAAAAGCAAAAACAATTATTAGATGATGAAACCAACATCATAAGCAATATATATATGAAGCTCAATCGGCATGCATATATGCATTACATAAAAACAAGGACACAGTTTTGACTACTGAAAGTTATCTCACTAAATATTATTTTTCATGACATCCATTAAATTATTAAAAAATATCTTCACCATCGAGAGAACTTTACCATTCCCATTGCTCCATTTCATTTATCTCGCTTACTATTTTGATCAACAACTTATCAGGGTGATGAAAGGGGGATTAACTCAACAAAAATTGCACTTCACTGGGCTATGGGATTTACTAATAAAACAATATGGACTTAACTTAAAATGCACTACTTATATGCAAAATTCTGCATTTGCTGATATTGTTTATCATCTTTACTAAGAGTAAGAATCTAATCAACCCATATAATCTTTACATTTTGCTCTAGATTGAAATTTCCTGCAACAATTATCAAGCCATCGAACAACAAATGGATACTGTAAGCAAATACATACATACATACATACATACTTAAAAAGAAAGAGGTCAAAGGACATTAAAAATGATTTGCAATTTTTTAGTCTACAACTTTTCGTACTTTAGTATGATTTACACTGTTACACATACAATTAACTATGAACAAAAAATTGTATATAGTACTTTCAATGATTCCACAATGAGGACCACCAATTCTTTTAATCTCTTCAAGCTTTTTCCTTTATGATTTTAGGTGCTAACTGCTAATGTCCTCTCAATGATTCTATCATGCAAAAAGGAATGTATACTTATTACTTAAGTAATCAATTTAAAAGGGCTACCTAATTTTCACGTTATGAATATCAACATCATGCAATAAAATTAATGCATTGTACATTAGTACTCTTAACAACAATCATAAGTTCTTCGTAATTTCAAATAGACAAGAATCAAAATATTCTCCAATTGTTTAGAGTATTGCCTTGGTTGAGGTCGGTCGAGGGTCAATTGCTCAATTCTTATCCAACCTTTGTACCCTCTATTTACCATATTCAGATAACTTAGAGGGAATTATATAACATTTTTAAGATTTAAAGTGAAAAAAACCTAGCATTTCAGGAATATATACTACTATTATCTATATATTGAAAGATCCTAAATTTATAATATACTGTAAAGTTTAAAAGCAACCCTCTTAAGAAAAGAAAGATTAGAAAGAATCCAATGCCCATTATAAGCAAAAAAGCAAAAGTAAAAACCATACTTTGCCATGCAAAAATAATTTTGAAATTAAAAAGTTTGATATGCTTTTCCTCAAAAAGACACATCTTCGACAAGCTCCAAACACTACCCTTGATAATTGATGTTCAATCTTTCTTTAAAGTCAGTACTCTCTCCATCCACCTAAAAATCTAAAATCAATACTCAATTATACTATTTTGTAACGTTAAAAAACATGTGTTACAATTCTATAAATACATTAGATTATGCGTGTTAAATCCTATGCATACCCTTGCTTAAATCAAATAATGAAGAGAGGATGCAAGTACGACATTGACTTTGAAATTTATACGGTTCACTAGCAATGTGTTAGCCATGTCCACGATATATGTTACTGAACATATAATTACGATAGATTAAGGACTTGGAGAGTTTAAATACTACCTTGAAACGTAATAGGCCCTGAAATTAGGCTCAACTAGAAATCATAGCTCATTATAACAAAATATCACCATTCACCAACTCTAGGGCAACACCAAAGGGGGCACGTTGCACCCAAACCCCGACTTGCTAATTAAGCATCAAGACCCGCGTATTGGGTCATTCGTACAGGGCAAACCAATTCAAGGCATATTCAAAAAGTAATATAACATTTGTTAAATTTTCTTAGTTAAACACGTAGCACAAATAATGGATTAAAAGACATCCACTAATCTCCTTTGTCCAGTAATTACTCCCTAATTACCTGTCAAGTACACTAAGCTAATTAGCAAAAGCAAAACCATTACACTTATTAATTATTTTACAACAGAAGCTTTATGCTCCAACTGTCATTTGGCATCCTCCGACAAATAAATATAGAATGCAGAAACAACTTTGGACTACAATGCGACAAAAAAGAGGAATAAAGATAACAAAAATACAAATAAAAGAAAGAAAAGGAGAGTTGTCTCAGTTTCCATTATGTGGTCTACTATTCGATTTATAACAAGTTTTAGGTGAGACGGACTTATAGTAACTTCTTTTATCGATTATGAGTTGCCCTTAAAGTCAAAATAAGCCACTCTAGTTACTATTCTTACATAGTCCGTCTCATACAAGATTTTGCATTGATATTATACAATATTAATGGTAGAATACTCGGATCTAATTTTAATTTTTGATATACTAACACTTCTTGTCTACTTGTTTTTTTAACATACAACAACTATTTTATACAACTGCCAATATAACATTTCGCTATAAACAGTTAAAAAGATTTAAATTAAACACTAAATAGCTGATTTACATCAAATCAAACACTAATTATATTACAAGGTATATGAACAAATTATCGTAGGATCTAACCGTAACAAGACTAGCCGTTGGTTCTTTTTTTTTTTTTTTTTTTTTTTTGAGAACAATAAATGCAAGTAATAAAACAATTTTTTTAAATAAAAAAACAAAAATATGCAGAAATTGTCAAATAATTTCAAGCATACAACACAAAATATACTACTGTACTAAAATCAACCAATTTTGCAATGTGATTTGTTTTGTTCTCCACTTCTTCCCCAACTAAGCCCACAAATTTTCAAAATTATGCATAAATAAATAAATAAATATATGACATTCATGTAATTGTAAATAAGCAAAACCCAGAATTCAAAATTACTATAAATAGTAAAAATGAACAAAAATTAAGATGAGTGAGAGAAAAACCTTGAGAGAAAAACAGAGCCAAAAATGCAGAGAAATCCACCAATGTAGAAGAAACCCAGATGAAATTACAGTGAACTGAGTGATTTTTTTTTTTAACAATTTTGGATTTCACTCATTTCAGAAGAAACCGACGGAAAAAAGCGTTGGTAAAACCAATTTTTTACGACGCTTTTGTATGTATTAAGAGGAATTTGGCATTAAGTGAGAGCTTCTCTTAGAAGTCCCTCAACTATAATAAAAGAGTTATTGAAATTGAGTGATTAATAGAGAGAGAAAGCAAGAAAAAGAGGGAATTTTGTGATGGACCCAGAACAAAAGTTTTTGGTAGAAAAAAGAAGAGAGAGAAAAAGGGAAATTAGTTTTGGCATAAAATGAAGAAAAAAAAAAGGAAATAGTGACTAGTGAGTGTGATACAGTTCAGTAGTGTCAAGTTTTGTACAGGACTCCCTTTGTTAAATAAATAAGATACACTCCATTTAAGAAAGTGATGTACTTAAAAAAAAAACTCGAAGGGAATATAAGAATAATAAAATACGTTCGACTTAGAAGAGTGATGCACTTAAAAAGAAAACTCAAGGGGAATAAAGAATAATAAAATACGCTCGATTTAGAAAAGTGATGCACTTAAAAAAAAACATCGAGAGGAATAAAGAAGAAGATTGGTCAAAAAAGAAAGGGAAAAAAAGGGTGGGAAGTACAGTGGTAGTGAAGTTAGGGAGGTTTAGGGATGAGCAAAGTGGTGAGGAGAGAGAAAATTGGAGATGAGGAAATGAGGATTGGAGTGTTGTGTCATGTGTTAGTGCAGAAATGGGGAAACAATTGCGGTTTTGCTGCGTTGTTTGTTCACTTTGTGGGTTTTACTTGTTTTTTTTGTAAAGGACTGACCTCGAGATGCTATTAACCGTTATTTGCTTCAAGGAATCTTCTTTTACGGAGAAGTACTTGTTTTTTTTAACCGTTATTTTATTACTTCATCAAGATTTTAAGAATGTCCTTTTATAAACCAATTAAAGATTTATTTTTTTAAAAAAAAACAGCTAAAAATTAAATACGGAGTACAAATTAGAGAATTAATCAAATACTAGTAATAATATACCAAGTAGGAGTAACATATATAAAAGGATATCTACACGAGTAACTGTAGATACGTCCGTCTCCCTATGGTGGAGTCGTTAGTTTTTGTTAGTTTAATTGTTTGTTTATGTTTAGGGTTTGTTTGTGTGTTAGGTTTTATCAACAAGGTAATCCTCTTTTGCCCTATTGTCAACTCTTTGGTAAAGATTTGTTCGGAATCGCGACAGTTGTCAAGTTTTCAAATGCGTTCAAGCGAATCACATGAAAATCATCGTTACGGCTACAACAAATCGTTAGACCTCTCTCCAAAAAGGTTGTATATTCCAGCGATGTGTACGAGAGATGTACCACAGTGCAAGATTTTTTCAACGATTGTAGCTTTGATGAAGAAAACCCTAATTTGATTCAATTTTATGTATTTGTTAATGTAAATTTCATTTGTAGATGTCGAATGGCTTTTTATTAATGAATTGATTTGTATATATATATATATATATATATATATGAAAGTGTTATTCATTATTAATGAATTGTAGAGTATTTCAAAATTGAGTCATGTTTTTCATTATGTCCACATAAATAAAAAATTTAGATCAGATATTTTTTTCAGTTCAAATCAAGTTAGGTGCTTAGATTGTTTAAGTTAGTTTTTAATACCTCTATGACTCTATTACCAACAAATTTTTTATTGAGGATTGATAATCTTATCATTCAGAGCCTATTTTCTTTAGCTTAATATCATTTCAGTTAAGTTTCAATCAGTTTAATTCCTAATTTTCTTCTCTCATAAACAATTCAATTCAACTCAGTTCTTACTTTCCTTCTTTCATAAACAATTCAGTTCAACTCAGTTTAGTTCAGATCTAATAAGTTCAGTTCAGGTCAATTCAGTATATCATAACAGACCTTTAGCCAAGTACCTGTTACTTATGTGGAATACAAAGATGTGATTTCTAAGAATAATTCAAATAGAATGAGAATGACATTTACCTGGTATACGAACAAACTTTATCAATTGTAAAAATAAATAAGTAAAGCATTGAAATCATTGTAACAACTAACAATAAATAAATAAAGCATTGAAATCCAATATACTACGTAACAGGATCTTACCATTATAATACGGAGTACAAGTGTGCAACCTTAGTAAAGAATATTTCTTGGAGGTAGTCCAGTAGTAAAAACTTAAGGAAGCGTAATAAGGATAATTTGCCGTTGAAGTTACGCTATCAATTGTCTCTTCCTTTGACTAATAATAATTGACTGTGAGATGGAATCACATTTTCACAGTTCATCCTACGTCACCACTCAGGGCTCACTAGCGGAACATGATCTCGACTTCCATACATTAATTAAAGACTTCCTCACCGTCTCGAATACGAATGTTATGGGGATATTAAATCATTAACCATTATTATTAGGTCATAGGTCGCGCGTTTAAGACTTTAAGTCACTTTTATTTAGAAAAGCAAGGGTACGATAGGGCACGATACAGCTCAGTCTAGCACAACAAAACACACTAATATAGGTTTTATTTGTTGTTAAGTGTTTCAAAATGAGCGATCACTTTCACACTATTATTGAAGTGCTATTTAGTATTTAATTTCTTGTTACTCTAGGATTAGGGCGCGGTCTTGTAAAAAGAAGACATTCCTAATGTTTACCTCGAATCTTAATTACCTTCCAAAAATAAAAAATCGAACAACTTTGGTATAATCAGACTAAATTTTAAATCTTACAAGCAGCTAATGGTTTATGGGCATTTGTACATCATACTCGAAAAATCCTAACATATTAAAAAATTCTAGATTCTATGATTAAAATGATCACAAATTTGAATCTTTTAGCATTAGTATGATCATTATACCTTACCTGGCCTTTAGATTTAGATGTAATGAGACTAAAAAAAAATTAATAAAAGAAGTAATTATGATGGATTTGAATTTCTGTCTGACTATCATATCATCACTATGATTATTGAATTGTTTGTGTTGGTGACCATGTGGCTTGAATTGAACGTCATGGCAATTTGGCAACAAGTCAACACAACATTGAGCTTTGTTTTAATAAACGCTAAAAGGGTTTCAATTTTCAATCAGTGTATGTATATATGTTTTACCACTCGACAAACTAACATGTTTAGTTTCGAGTTTTGACCGATTCCTCATTTCAAATCATGTACATACTTGATACTTGAGTACTTCTTCTACTACGGATTAATCGTTCTACATATATTAATACGTAGTATATACTTTCTCCGTTTTTTTATTATTGCACTATAGGAATTGGGTACAAATATTTTGGTAGTGGAAAAAAATAAGAGAGAGAAAGATAAAAATACAAAATTGCCCATGTGACATATTGATAAACTAAGAAGTAAGTGTGAAAAAGCAAGGGTATGTTGGGTATTTTTAGTGTGAACACAAATAATTTTTTTCTTAAAGAGGAAATGGCGCAATATTTGTGAAACTTCCTAAAAAGGCAAGTGGTGCAATAATAAAATAACGGAGGAAGTACATTATCATATAATGTCGTTGAAATATTAGTACAATCATGTGGAATCTTGTTATATTTCTCAATATTTTGACTTCTCAATTTTCTTACGTAGTACTCCTTTTGTTCCTTTTTATTGGTCATGTTTTGATCATTTTTCTCTCATAAAAAGATTCCAAGCGTAACCAACAGATAAGTACCACGGTGATTAATATTTCATGCGAGTGTAAAGCAGCGTGAACCTCTAGATGCACCATAAAATCCATTTACTTCCTTCTAGGCACTAAGGTTTATAGCTCATGGGCTAAGCAATTAAGTATCAGGTTCGACTTAATTTACATTAAGCCTCATATTGAGGCGCCTTACATTAAGGTTGTATTGATAGAGATCTCTTGAATTAGGGCAACTAGTCACACAAAATGTGGCAATGGAGGAAATGAAGCAATTTATCTTTATCGTATGTATTTTTAAACGTATAGACGAGAAAGTTTTGTAGATCATGGCAAAGTGACACAACACATATCACCCAATAACGCAAACCTTGATTGTGGATACTTAAGTTGACATGCTAGTATTGATAGGGACTAGAAAACCTCCCTGTCGCATGCTACTTCCTTTTCTCCGCACAATCCAAGTAAGTCGTGCATGCTAGCTTCCCAAAATGTCTAGTGTCACCATCCTTGATAAAACAACATTAATAGGACAACATTTTATCACAATCTATTTCACCATAAATGCATAGTTGCATGAGTTTGGACGTTCCTTGTTGTTTTGAGCTTTATTCCTCCAAATTCACACAAGACAAAGTTTAAGTAGAACTCGAGATAAACCAAATTTCGTTCTTTAATGTAAGATATACTCCTACAAATATGGATTTAGTTGCTTAAAATCACCTTAAAGTGATACAATTTTAGCTTTATATCCAATGTGCAAAGGTTTCAGTTCAACCCATGAGTAGCCTCATCTTAAAGATGAATTACAATTCCTTCTGCCAAACTAACACGTCTTTATGATAACCTCCTAAATACTAGTTTAAATATTTAATTATACAATTTCTAAATAAATCTTGAAGATATTTTATATATGCTCCTTACACCGCATATTCTTAGGGCCTGTACTGACTGAACTAAACTTATTGAAGCTGAATTGAATTTTTTATGAGAGAAGGAAATTATGAATTAAACTGAACTGAACTGAAAATAATCTAAAGAAAACATGCCCTTTTTATGTGACACATCACCTTCTTATAGCTCAGTAATCACGTAACTTCAATAGTCTCATTTTCTAACGTTTCCAAATGATGTTTTTTTTTCCAACGGTAAGATCCAGGAGATCCCCCTCCTCTATCACAGATTCACAGAAGTGGGGATGAGGAGTCGATGCCAGCCAGGTCACTCTTAGGGGAGATGGAGTGATTAACCATCACTCCACTCCTCAGTCCTCACTCCTCTCAAAATGATGATATTAACTACATGTTAGTAGCAATTAGTTTATAAGAATAATGGACCTTGATCCATTTGAAGCCCAAATTTTACATGCAGACTGTATAAATCTTTATGAAAACGGGCTTAAATGTTGACGCCACTTTGGACCTACAAACCCATTCAAAGCCCAATTTCTTCTACTTATCAAATGAAGCCCAAACTTCTTCAACTTAATAAAATTTTTCCTATTCCCATGGCCTAAAAAGTAAAATCAAAGAGAAAGTTGCAAAATGGTAATTGGTAAGCCAACAAATATCAGTCTGTAACTCCAACGCTCCAAGGATCTGATATGCCATTTTTACTTTCAAAACCACAAGCATCATGTTTTTCGTACAATCGTACTAATGAAAATGTCTCAATAACCAAGAGGAGCTTCATTGAAGCTCCCTACTAGGCACCCTTAATTGAATCACTAAACAAGTCCGGATAGAAGATGCTATCAACTCTGTACAACACAGAAAGCGACAGAGGATTGCAGCTACTTCCAACCCATTCGCCCAAACGGCGCCTAGGAAATGAATCGATAAAAACCCAATACAGAAAATTAAGAGTTCGTTTGGCATTGTTGTGGTTTTCAATTTTTTGGTTTTTTGTATTTTAAAAGTGTATGATATACGTCATATAATGAATAAAAAATTAGTCAAACTTATTAAAATCATGCTAATTTTGAAAACTGACAACTGAAAAGTGAAAACACCTTTTTCTTGTTTCTTGTTTTTGGTTTTTTGTTTTCAAAAAAAACTGAAAACAAAAAACAATGTCAAACAAGCCCTAAGGTGTCTACTTCCTATGCACCATGGATTGGGGTAAAGGCCCAATCACTCGCTCACTCACTGTAATGCTTCATACATTATAAAAATGAACAAAACAAACTATTGCTGAG